AAAAAAAAATAAAATCCCATCAACTGTTGTACATGGTGCTACTATTGAAATTATTTGGACATCTATTCCAGCTTTAATTTTATTAACAGTTGCAGTTCCATCTTTTGCATTATTATATTCAATGGATGAAGTAATTGATCCTATTATTACTTTAAAAGTAATAGGTAGTCAATGGTATTGGAGTTACGAATATTCAGATAATTTAGAATTTTCAGATGAACCTTTAATTTTTGATAGTTATATGGTACAAGAAGATGATTTAGCAATAGGTCAATTTAGACTTTTAGAAGTAGATAATCGTGTAGTAGTTCCAACTAATAGTCATATTAGAGTATTAATTACTGCATCAGATGTATTACATTCATGGGCTATTCCTTCATTAGGTATTAAATTAGATGCTTGTCCAGGTCGTTTAAATCAAACTTCTATGTTTATTAAAAGAGAAGGTGTTTTTTATGGACAATGTAGTGAAATTTGTGGAGTAAATCATGGATTTATGCCTATTGTAGTAGAAGCTGTATCATTAGAAGATTATTTAATTTGGTTAAAAAATAAAATTAATTTTGATTTTAATGCATAATAATTAAAAAATTTATGATATTTAAAATCATTGGTATAACTTTTTTAATATTATTATTATTTACTGATATTAAGCAAATAATTAATAAAATTAAACAATTTTTTAATAAATAAAATAAAAAAATCCAACGCTTTTTTTAATAAATATATATATCTAATTTTGCTTTTAAAATAAATTAAAAAAAATATTAAAAAATGAATTTTCAAAATATAAATAAATGGTCAACAAGATGGCTTTTTTCAACAAATCATAAAGATATTGGAACTTTATATTTAATTTTTAGTGCTTTTGCTGGTGTTGTAGGTACAACACTATCTCTTTTAATTAGAATGGAATTAGCACAACCTGGTAATCAAATTTTTATGGGTAATCATCAATTATATAATGTTGTTGTTACAGCACATGCTTTTATTATGGTATTTTTTTTAGTTATGCCTGCTTTAATTGGTGGGTTTGGTAACTGGTTTGTACCTTTAATGATAGGTGCTCCTGATATGGCATTTCCTCGTATGAATAATATAAGTTTTTGGTTATTACC